ACTTCTATTTTTTTTATTAATATTACAAAAAAAACTTTACTACTTTTTACACTTAAATTTAAACAAACTTACAAAGGCAGAAAAATAGTTTATCCATACTTTCTACTCACTACTAATATAATATCAATATTCAATAAATTCAGTGCTCAAAAGAACAAGCTCATTCTTTTGCGATGGATGTATTATATGTTTTCATTAACTTTCACTAACAATGTATCTTACTTGAAAAAAGAATAAATGATAATCTATAATAATTGATTTACAATAATATAAATGAATAAGAATTATATCATACCATCTCCGCAACATTGAATGGTGAAGAACTCATCTTTTGTGTAACCCTTATTCCACTGCACATACAATTGTATCTATATAAGTTATTGCAAAATTCACAATCGTATTAAAAAAAACATATGTACACAAATCCTAATATGTTAGGATTTTATGCCAAAATAAGGATAATACATAATTCTTCTTATAAACAATTAAGTAAATTATGGAATTCACTTTACACAATATGTTTCAGGTGTTTCTATTGAAATATATAAACTATAAATGTATTTTAGACCTAATGTAAATAACACATTTTTTAGACTATATACTGTCTATATAATTATAAAGAAAATGTAATACAATTCAACCTCGTATTTGCAGATTATTAGGTTAGATTGAAGATTACCCAAAATGTGCTCGAATATATAATAGGAACTGCGGATATCCATGTCATAAAAAAATAAATTAATATCAAAATCAAAATTGAGAATTTGGCTTTCTTTTGCAAACATAGCAAACTCCACTTTTCTCGTTCAGTGTACCAAAGCCGATGTGGAGAAGAGGATTTAAAGATATAAGCCACTTATTGTTATTAAGGCTATAATTGAGACAAAAAGAACAATAAAAGTTCTTATTAATTAATTAACATAGGACTAGAAAAATAAATAATATCATAACAAATAACAAGTGTGGTAGTTCTAACAATAAATAAATATATAAAAGAAACTTCTGCATTATTTTTAGATGAATTGGCTCATTGATATGTAAATTAAATTATTATTCTTAAATTGCCCATAATAAATCATTATTTAACTAGTTTTCAAGTGGTGTAACAAGTAAATTTAAAAATCTAAATAAAATGAGAAAAAACCAAATTATTAATGTCAAAAATTACTTCATATATTTTAATTAAAAAATATAAATACTGTAAATATTTTTTCTTTTTAAGAAAACAAGTATTATTACACTTTAGATACTAGGTAACAAAATGCTAAAAGTTTTTTTCAGTTTACAAAAATAAAATAAAATAATCATTAAAAAATAAAAATATCCTGAATGTTTTTCAAAGTATAAGTTGGAACAAGCAAAAAGTCAAACTCATTTTTTTGTTATTTTTTTGCAATGAACAAGCACTGACACGATATTGCAGCTACCCATAACGCAGATCTGACAAAAAGCGGGTTTGACCCATCGAATTTTAAATGCCGAGAGACAAAAGGACTTGTCCTATATGGAAGAGATGGAGACGTGACTATGGAGTGTTTTATACCTCCTACATGGCATTAAATGGTTTTGAACATGTTGCTCCAAAAGTTGTCATAATCAACTTTGTCCTTTGTGTAGTGTGTATATATTTTGTTTGTATATTTGTGTTTGTAGATCTCACACAACGATTAGAACACTTGTGAATGTATTCTTTCCACCTTTGACTGAGTGTTGAGAGGTTCTTCAATTGAGGTTTGAAGAGACGAAAAAAAGGTTTCTTTGAGTCAAAGCCAAAGGAAATAACCATCCGATATGCAACCTTATTCTTAGTTTGGTTGCTGGTCTGCTGATGTCGTTACGGAGTAGTAACAACCAGTTCATTGTAGTTTGTAAAACTAAATGGAGTTTTGGTAGAAGATAAGTTGGGTAGTTTGGGTTCGTGTCTTATACGGTGTAAACCAAGTGTTTGTTTTAGTTAAGACTCCTGGATTTGAATCCATCAAGTTAGAAAACCAAACTGGGTAAACAAACATGGTATGTGTTGTTCTTCTTTGCACTCACTCGCCCATTGATCTATGCACGAACACACTATGGTTACAACCACAAGGCAAACACGCCTTCAAAACTGTGTCGACCACCCACGATTTTATATTTCCGCTATGTATAAAATTCGGAGACGTTGGACCTCTTTTGGGACCGATCGAATATCCAACATCTGATATCTTAACAGCATACTCAATATACTAACTGTACGTAGAAATGTATATTAAAATGTATTTCATTTTGCTTTATAAAATGAATAAATTAATAAGTTAGAAATATTTTAATAATATTTACATGTTAAACTATTGTCTCGAAAACAATGATGCGTAAAATAAAAAGGTATAAATATAATTATACAGTATTATTGTATTGATCTGAATGAGCTGTAAGGTCTGACTTCTTAATCCCTTCAAAAACATGTGTTTCATCCAAATAATAATAATAATATAAGCATCGTCGAAGCAATGTGTGTATGGATTTGTGCAAGTGGCGGAACTAGAATATTAATAGAGAGGGGCCAAAATTTTTAAATTTATAAAATAAATTTTTATTTGTAAAATAATACTACTATCGTCCACTTAATAATTTTATATTTATTTTTTGCATACTAATATTAAATATTAATTATTACATCAAATATAGTTCAAATAAAAAAAACAATTTTTTTTATTAATAGATATTGATATATTATATTTTGAAAAAAATAAAACTAATGCACTTTTTTATTAAAAAAAAAATCAACACTTTGATGTTTTATTATTTATTTATTTATTTTAAATATTTTCTATAGATTATATATATTATTCTTTTAAAAATAAAAAAAATTTAATAAAATAGAATAAAAGTGGGGTTGGGATGAGGCAAGGGTGGACAGCCCTTGCCCCTTAATGGGTCCGCCACTGGATTTGTGTGATCTAAATTATTTGTATTAGGGATGTATATAGTTAATTTAATTAATGCCGGATGCAGAAATGTGGTCTCACTATACTATATCGGATGTAGAACGACCGTCTCACTTAATGCTCGAATGTTTAGAAAAACGCAGTTATTAATTATACATCCGCAAACGGAAGTCTCCAACAATTATATAACTAATTATTTAAATAAATAATAAAATTTAAATACTAAAATGTAATATTTTTGAAGAAAATTAATAAATTTAGCAGTAAAAAATATCACCATAGTGGTTCTGTTATATTATTATTATTATTTCAAAAAATCAGATAAAATGCTTATTTCTCCATTAAAATATCACATTATAAATCTATTTAGGTGGTGTATCTTCTTTTTTTTAAGTTTGGTTTTGTTTTGATTGTGTTCTAATGGTTTTCATGTAAAATTTTGTAAGAAAAAGGTAATATATTTTTATCAAAAGATCAAGATAATTGAATAGGAAAAAATCGAAATCAAATTTCAAGAGAACGTTGTTGCTTCCCTTTGAAATATTCCATAACAGCGGCGGCTACAGCGCTGAATGTAAAATTCAGCAATCTGCTGAATAGCACACCGTGTACTAACGGATAGCACATCGTATTATAACAAACAACACACAGTATGAGTTAATATTATACAAATACAACACACACCTAACAACACATTATATAGTCTTACATAGCACATACCATAGTTCATTTAAGCAAATGACATACTCTCATAGCGCACACCCTTTAATTATGAACAAACAGTAATTTATGTAATAAAGACGTGTGTTATTTCTGTATTTTAGATATTTTAGGTGTGCTGATTTTCCAAATTAACACCGTAACCCTCCTCTTCCATAACACCTATTTTAAATTACTCCCTCCGTCCGGCTCTAAGGGTCTCATTTACTTTTTGTGTTATTATACTTAACATTAAAAATATCCTTATATTTGTATAATTTTTTGCACAAATGTCATTGTAATAGTATTATAAGACACTAATTGAACTATTTTTGTCATTTTCTCTTAATTTATACTACGTTTTCATATAGTAATTAATATTTAAATATCAACATGCAAACAATAAATGAGACTTTAGAGCCGGACGAAAGTAGTATAATTTATTGGTCTTATTTACTTTGGCTTTATATAATAAATATATTTTGTTTAGCATGTAATATTTTGTTAGAAATTAAAAATATATATTATTATAGAGATAATTAATTATCATTTTGGAAAATTAATTAAATATATATAACCTGTATAGAAATATCCATATATATAACCTATCGTTGAAAAGGTCTACTGAAATGTTGCCAAAGTGTACTGACATAGACTAGTTATATATAACAATTTCTAGCATCAAAATTTTTGAACTGAGTTAAATTTTTAAATAAATATAAAAATATTTGTGTTTTAATAAAATAAAAAATAAATCCATTTCAACTGCAGAGGTTCTATATTAGAACATGTGACAATATTCCGATAACTGATCTTTTCGATGACTAAACATGTGTCAATATTCCTATACTAATCTTTTTGATGACTACGGACTATATATAAAACTATTTTGTGCACAGTTAGAACAAAATTACAATGAATTCCAAAATATTAAGTTTGATCTAAAATTATAAAATATTTCAAAATACTAGAATACAAAAATATGGGAAAATTGCAAAAAAATATGTATATCTCACATGTTTGCAAAAGTCGCTATTTCTATCCTTTGGCCGCGCGTGATTGCGCTTAAGGACACGTGGTGTGAATGTCACGCGCGGAAAAATGACATAAATAGCGACTTTTGTGATACTAGGGTATAAGTGTGAGATATTTTTTTGCAATTTTCTCACAAAAACATGAACGTTCCATTGTCCAATTGCACATGCTTTTAGGACTTCGGTTCCTAGGACTCACTACTAAAAGGATTCCATAACCATGGGACCTCTCAAACCTTTATAGTGAAGTAGAAGCAGAAGCAGAAGCAACAATATCCTTAAGTTCGTCGAAGCGACGACAAATCCACTAAAATTCTCAAAAAAAAAAAAAAAAACAAACAAAAAAAACAACTTGTGAACAAGAAAGGGGATGGGATTATTCGACTTGGAGTCGAATTACGCCTCCTTTGCCGCGTATCACAGAAACCCCATTAACATCTTCATTCACATGATCCTCACGTGGCCTACCGTCTTCACGGCCTCGGTTCTTCTGTATTTCACGCCGCCTCTCATTGCGCACTCGCCAATTCAATTGGTGAATGGCGGCGCCTACGTGGTGCTCAATTATGGCTTTTTCATGACCCTCATTTACGCGCTCTATTACGTGATTTTGGATAGGAGAGCGGGGTCGCTCGCGGCGCTACTGTGCTTCCTTGGCTGGATCGGAAGCAGCGTTCTCGGCCGCAGCCTCGGATTTTCGTTGGCTTGGAAGGTACCGCTTAATTTTTTACTATAATATATTTATTTTTAAAAATTTGTCATACTGATTTTTCGGTCTGCTTACCTACCCGTAATTTAACTAAAGACATAACCTTCAAGGGTGTATGTCTTACCATTTGATTTATAAGAATTCTTTGAGTAATAATTTAGGTATAATGTTTTATACATATATAAATATATATATATATATATTATGAAAATAGCATATTAAATAAATTGAAACCAAATTTTAAGTAAATAAAGTTAATTGTGTGTTGATATTTTTTTTTTACTAGTTTCATTTTTACATGATTATTTAGGTGGTGTTATTTTTACTTTTTAGTTCATATATTTTTATAAATTAGATTAATAACCATAAAAAAGGGGGAAAAAAGTATCTAAATAAACAAAATTGTAAAAACTATAATAATTATATAATAAATTGAAAATAATACTAAAAGACTCGGGACAAAGTTTAATACTCCCTCCGTCCTACATAAAATGTACACATTTTTTTATTTTCGTATATTCCACATAATTTATCATTTTCTTTTTTAGAATTATAATTATACATTTTAATCAATCGTATTTTAATTTTTAAATTTATAATTTTTTAATTTTAATTAAATTATTTAGTTATTTTAATCTTAATTTATAATTATTTTTACTAATTATATTTTACGTGAATTCTCGTATCAACGTTAACTTGGAGATATTACCTGGGTGACGGAGGCAGGATTAGTATTTTTGTCATAAATCTTTTGCTGATATTTCTATTTAGAATATTCCAAAATTTGTGCAATATTTCTTTTACATAATTGATCTCTTTTACCCTTCAAATATAAATTATAAAACTATTCTAAATATAGAATGTAAGAAATCGCCAATAGAAGATGATATAAATCTATCAATTACTTGGCAAAAATTAATTCGACATGGCAACCCAACACAACCTGAAATAAAATAATTGGGTTTAGATAAAGAATTTCAACTCAATTATTATACGGGTCAACACGATAATAAACAGATCATGTTAGAATTAGCATCCTCAACTCGAACTCAATACAACAACTTGATTATAATATTAGTTTTAAGTAATTTATTTATTTATTATATATGTAAAATAATTTTAATCTAACATGATACAAACTCGACATGAAAGAATTGGGTTTGGATCAAGAATTTTGATCCAATTATATACACAGGTTAACACAAATCTGACACGGTAATAAACAAGTCCGATTAGAGTTTGGTGGTTTCAACCCAATTAGAATCGACCACTTACCGGCTCTACTTATTATATACAGTCATCACTGATCATGTCTTCTTGCCAGGTTGTTCTTGCATCGCAGATACTATGCTGGAGTGGTCTGTTCATTGGCCATGCAGTATTTGAGGTTTTAATTTTTTTAATAATAATAATAATAATGAAAAATTGATTGTAATGAACTTGTAGCTTGAAAAATCTCTATCATTTTGTTTCATGATTTAGAAACTACATGAAATTTTATTATACTTTATATAACAATGCACAAAATCTCCTTTAATATTTTTTGAAAATATGAAAACACAATTTCTAGAGGATTGTGTGTAATACTTTTTGACACACAAGAAGTCTCGTATAATTTTTAAATGATAAAAAGAATATAATGCATATTTTCCAAATTAACCACGGATCGATGGATTGTAAATAATTTTGTCTAATAACAATAATAATAATAATACATCTCTCTTGTAGAAGCGTGCGCCTGCTATATTCGACAACTTCGCACAAGCAACTCTTATGGGGTCTTTCTTTGTGTTGCTTGAGGTATGTCGCCATTTCGAAAAACATTGTGTTTAGATATCTTTTCCTTGAGGTTGAATATGATATTTTGCATACAAAGTTGGTTTAATTTATTATGTAAATATTTAAAAAATAATAATAAGTATTTAATTTTATATATTTCCAAAAATAAAAATAAAATATTTATAAATAATATTAAAACAAAGCTTAAGACTATATGTAAATAGACTGCTTATTGAAAGATTTAAACAATAGATACCGAATCCTTAGGGTTAAAATTATAATATTAAGTTAAAATCGTTTTCTGAAGTAACTCTTGAAATATTTGCAAACAATTAAAATTATGATAAGAAATCAATTTGTTTTCTTAGCTACAGAAGATGGTTTTGTTTAACTGAACTCAAATTCACTTATTTAAAATATTGAGTTGAATTTAAAAAGTAAATAAATAATTAACCATCAGTTCAATATAAATTGATAATATGAAATAGCATATATATATATAATCTTATTTAAGGACTTATCTGTTTCTTTCGATGAGTTTAGAAAAAAATTGGTTTGAGTTTGATATAAAAATAATATTTGATAGGATGTTTTGTAAGAGGAAAAAAAAATATTTTTTTCGAGAAGCGCAGAGTCCAAATAATAAAATTTTGAAAAATTATGCTAAAGAAACATATACGATACTCTAATGTTGACATAGACGAGTCATGTAGTAATTTTTTGCAACATATGTTTATATATGTCGATTCAATTTTATGTATTCATTAAGCGTATATATTTGTATATTTATTTAAAAATTATATCAACGTCAATATTTTATGCTAAAAATTGTATATGTGAAAATATTTTGATAAAATGTAAAATTTTCAAGTTAATTAAATATAGGACTATTTCAACATATATTTAGTTAAATGACCCAAATAAGAAGTGTATCATATATAAATGTGTCATGTGAATGTAGTGTTTGTGTTTTTTTATGTTTTGGAATATTAATAGAATTTGAATTATAATAATAATAATATGATATTATGTAAGAGGTGTTTAATGTAGTTTTATGAATTAAAAAAAAAATGTATATAATATATAAAATGAAAAAAAAAATGGTGTATTATGTGTGATATTTTACAAGAAAAATAAAATAATTAAGTTACTGTGTAGATTAATAATGAAAATAAAAACTAAAAACACAACTAAAACAATTTAATTTCCTGTAAATTTTTTATAGAGTATCTATATTTATATTGTATAAAGTTTGATACATAGTTGACATTTATATTTGTGAACAATATGCACAATTTTTTTATACTATTATAGCTAACACAATGAAGAAGTATATTGATATTTATACAAAGTATTGGTCATATTTATATTAAAATGCAAGTAATATAGATGTAATATTAATCCATCCTTTAATTTCTAATCTTTTTCATACAAAAGTAGAAAAATTATATCCATGTACATGTGATATATTTTTCTTTTTAGATTTTGCGGTCCTGCTTCGGGTATGAACCATACCCCGGCTTTCATGCCAAAGTGAAAGTCAAAATTGATGCCGAAGTTAAAGCTTGGAACGATGCCAAACTCAAGAAAGCTTATTGAAGCGTCGAGCATATTGAAACGATGCCAACTTCTTAATTACTTGCAAGAAGTTGAGCATCGACACATAAGTACGATTGTACATTTTCGCGCGAGCACACGATGTTATTCTGTTTTAAATAATAATAATAATAATAATACATTGGACATTGGTGCATAAAAATATGAATTGATACCTATTAATGAGAATAATTATAAAATATACTTAATAAAAATGAAATAATGTAATATTAACTAATGTCCAATAAGGTAACTAGACTTATATTTTAGAATTGAAATTTTTCAATAAATTTGTATCTTTCACATAAGCAAAGGCTCCGAAAACGGCCCCAAAATTTTGATGGTTGTAAAATTACCCTTTGGTATGCATGGGTTAGTATAAAAGTGGGGAAATTGCAAAAAATATCTCGCATGTATACTCCACTATCACTTTTGTCATGTATTTATCTCGTTGGCAAAATATATCCTACATGTTTACAAAAATCGTTATTTCTATCCTTTGGCCGCGCGTGTTTGCGCTTGGTGTGAACGTCACGCGCGGAAAAAGGACAGAAATAGCAACTTTTCGGATACCCGGGAGTTGGGTCATTGTTTGGCCAACTCCCGTGTGTGGATGAACCAGTATTAAGCCATCCGAAGTTGATTAGAGGTTAAATGGATTGAATAGACTACTCATGTTAACAATGTGTACATTATTTTTCGAATTGGTGAAAGAACTCTAGAATTAAACGTGTTTTCTAGAGAATTTGAGGATGGGTGACCCTCGGAAGTCTCCCAATGTGCACGTGAGCGGGGACAGAAGCATGCTAGAAGGATACGTGTTGATCTGTGGGACCAGTCTACAATCCCGACACGCCCGACTTTGTGTGGCTTGAGTGCTCGGGTGTCACAAGAAATCCCTATAAAAACATGTTCAAATTAGTGTTATCACTCTCACATAGGTTTATAGATTATGGATTTTATAATAATAATATGAAATTTTCTATGAGTTTTTAACATTTTTTTATTATGAAAATGCACTATTCTGAATAAAAGAATACACAATTCTGCATACGAATATCCAACAATTATGTCACCTGAAAAACAGCAAAAACCAAACCTCATGTAACACAAAAAGAACACATGTATTGTAAGCAACCTTGTGTCAATGGTGAAAATATAATGTGAGGATTCTAGTTTCCAATGATGACATTGGTGAGGGGTGGTTCGACAAGGGCGAGTGAAGTGTTGCACATAAGGGATTTATCATTGGTAGTCGATAGCCGGTTTAGTGGTCGACATTGGTAGATATTTGAGTTATTATTAGAGAATCGAGTCGTGGGATATTTAACAAGCATTGCAAATTTGAGTTAGCAAATAACATTTAGACAAATTGATCGCCCAAGAAAATAGTGACTCGTAAGTATTTTTGTATTTGAAAAGATTCAAATGTATGTGCAACGACACATTGGATATAAGACTCCGAGTATATCGAATTCTATAAACGAAAAATCAATGGAGTGAAAGAAATCTTAAAATACATCCTATTTGGATGGTATTTATAAAAATTGATTAGACTACTTGTGATAACTTGGGGTTCGTAAAACAAAAGTGATGAAAATCGAGATGAACACCTACATACAAGTGATGAAAAACTGGTGATTCAGTTGAAAAAATTCATGTCTAGGCGGTCAACCGGCTATTTTCACTAGTGTTGAAACTTGACTTGGATTTAGCAGTCTACCCGATCCAGAACCAAAGCGAAAAGGTTGTTTCAATTGGTAAGTTCCTTTTGGACTCATCCTAATTAATAACAAATGGGCTTAGGGTTTAGGGTGTTTTAGGGTGCTTATAAATAGAAAGCTATGATTCCCAGCCATAGGACAATGAACGTAACTCTCTAAATTAGTATAATAAAATTTCGCTGGTTTCTGTCTGTGGACGTAGGTTGACACACCGTCATCGAACCACGTAAAATCTCTGTGTTCTTTATTTGTTTTTTTTCTCGTTTTCTCATAACTAACTAGTATATAGGCTTTTAATGTAAAATGCTAATGAGCCTAATAGCCCAAAATTTTTAGGAACAAGCCCAAAAAAATTGAAAGATGATGTCAATCACCGGTGTCACGATTGGATCGACAAAAACGCTCAAAACTTTGGCTTAGGCTTCACAATATAATAGTTTTGGATCATAAAAGCCCACTTTTTGAAGATTTTTTCCTTCTCTTCGGGATCTAAAATCAATTGCAACGATTCAATAGACGGAAGGCGGCTGAATGAAAGGATGATGAATTGGTTGAATGATATGAGAAGTACTTTGAACAATTCCACTTTTATTATGGAATAACGGGTAACTCTTATGTAAAATGAATGAATAAGTTCTCGAGTTAATGGATCAATAGAGATCAAATCAATTCAAATCAAATAATTTGATCGCGTCTAAGCAGTGTTTTGCTTAACAAGGTTGATATTTAGAAATATAAGTATGCAGATATATATTAAAAAGCAATGCGTCACAATGAGTCGATCATAAAAATAAATATTGAATAATGCATAGCTACTCTTCACTTAATAAGACCAAAAAAAAAATGTATTCAAATGCAAAACAATAACCATTAAAGTATAAATCGTTTGAGCATATCATAATATAGGAAATGAAAGATATATTTCTAAATCAGAAGAAAGGTGCTCTTCGAGGTACTCCTTTCCTGCGATGCTTAGCGCCTTCCGCAGTCTTTGGTTTATCGCCATTTTTCCTTTTATTCAGAGGATATGGGCCAGTTGAATTATTTTCCATGTCTGAAACCTGTAGAATTTTAAAAATTAATATATATATATATATATAGTTTGATCGAACGAATATCATATAAAATTTAAGGGTGTGTTTGTTTGGGGGTTTGGATTTTGGATTGGGATTTGAATAGTAAAAATTTTGAATTTGAATAGTTGTATGATGTGATATAAATAGGGTTTGATGTGATGTTTTGAATGTAAAATTGATTTTTAGTATAATATAAAAAATGAAAAATAGGTGTTTGATTTGATATTTTTGAGGGGAAAAAATTGGATGAATAGTGGAAATCCTCCAAAATCCTTCAAACAAACACACCCTAAAGCATTAGACCATGATCATCCGTGATAAATATTTCTTACAAAATCTATGAACAACTCTATATTTAAAACGCTGCTCAAATATCATATTAATAAATTGATAGAGTTCAAAAATTTTGTGTCTTTACCACATATTTAAAATAGTTTTATAAATTTTTATTGCATAATTCTCAAGTATATTCGCAAAAAGTAAAATGACCTTGCATGCGAGGGAGCAGAAATGATATTGATAATTCAACTTTCTTCGACAAACATGGCAAGCTCCATTCTTCTCACTGAGTAAACCGGAGCCATTGTGTGGTTGAGGAAATCGAGATATAGCCAACTTCTTGTTACATCTATAAGTCTACAAATGCGTGACACAAACAAAATAACATTTGAGTTAACGAAACAAATTTTAAGTGGAAAATATTAATCGATTCAAACATTTATCTAAGCTAAAGTACCATATATATATTTATATATATACAAGACCATTGATATATAGAAAATATAACTCAAAATATTGTCATACCTGAATTTTCGTACAATCAATAAGAGGTGCCAAATCACTCAAAAGAACGACCTCTTCAGACATATTCTTGTGCACCGTAAGTATCGTATGGCTGTTGTGGCAACCATCTTCGATACAACAATTGCACTTTGTGATATTGCATTCTACACAATATCTATTAAGGTCAATCCCATGGAGCTGACACGGTTGGAAAAATATCTTTTCCAAAAAGCGACTTACCCATTCTGAATCTATGTCGCGCTGAATCTCATTATCAACCTACAATATCAACTCAATCAACAAAACTTTAAAAGTTGCAAAAGTATCATATGATTTTAACAAATATCAGCATTCAATATAAAATATTATTTTTTATATTACTGACACAATTTTCTATACCTCACATCAAAAAAAATCCTTCAAATCAAAACACTAAACAAACAAACCGTATATTTTTCATCGTACTCACACTAATAATGTATCTTCTTCACACATAAATAAGAACTTATGGAAAATACATGTAGAAAAACATAGATCTAAAGGAATGTTTATTGTACCTTTTCCATAGCATTGGTCGATGAAGAACCCATCTTTTAGGCGCTTTAGTAAATTTTGACTGATTTGTTTTTAATACTGAGTAGGCTAAATAACGATGAATGTATATTAGCTATTTATAATCAAATAGACGAAGAAAATAATGATGCATCAATAAAAACTTGAAAATTATGCTATCTATTTAGGAAAAATAATAATGTCGTAAAATGCATAAATCCAATTTTATTAGGGATAATTATCGAATTCTACATAAAATGAGTAAGCAAATAATATTTATGCATTTATTCATACATAATTACACATATAATATATATTATAAATTAGAATAAATACATTTTTATCCTTTTTTTTAGTAGGTTTCGTAATTATACTTGTTTCCTTTCAAAGAAATTAGTATTGTTTTTCGAATTTTGAAATTTAAAATCAAAACTTTCGTAGTATTTAAATTTTGCTGACCGTTAAGTGGTCGATAATAATATTTAGTAATGTAATTAATTATTTTAATTTCATGAGTTATAATGCAATAGTTAATATATATATATATATATATATGGAATGTATCTGATTTTCTATATATATCGGGAATCATGTTAGTAAGTCGTCATGCAATGCAATTGTTGCATCGAGTTAATGGGACGGCGATTAGGGTGTCGAGGCTAATCAATACACAGTAATCAATTTATAGCAACATTTACACAACACATATTATATTGATCTTATAACACAACACAAATATATAGTATTAACCGACAATACATGATAATAATTCACATAGAATACGTTGTTTTAATCTTAATTTTCACTGTGATATAGCCATTCATGTTGCTTATAGTTAATAAACATAGTGCTGATTAACCCTAATCAACGCA